TCTCCATTAGATTCCTAGTACACCTAACGAATCGCCCACGTGTAGCTCTTGATCGAGCTTATCAAAACGAGTGTCGATAGATTCACTATTCATATGAATATGCCTCTCGAAATGCCTTTTGAATGGACATCTGAGATTATAAGATAAGAATGGAAAGAGAGAGACAAAGCGGGCGGGGACTTCTAGACTAGCCGGGGAAATCCCTCCGTTTTTCGGGTTTTTAATCCTTAACTTTTTTGAATCAAAATATCTAAATAATAAGAAATTATCATATTTGAAAACCAAACAAGGATCTTCCTCAATAGCAACTAAACTCAGACCTGGGGAAGTCAGGTCACTTCTTTCCCAAAGCACCACTCCTGCAAGAAGATATCCACGAATGCGATTGGTGGACAGAAGAAGCATGGCATGAGATGCCTCTTCCTTCGGCGAGTAGGGGGATTTCTTTCTCTCCTCTTTAGAAAGGTGGGGGACCAATCAAGTCAATCAGCAAGGGCTGCGGTAGCAGAAGTAGCAAAGGTTGGATGTAATGAGAAAATTCGAATTCTTGAACCCATATCCGCTGCTTTCGGGATGCTCTACTAAATGGGTATCGTGCGCGAGGAGAAGAAAGGAGCTCATCGAAAGATATTGTCAATGAGAATCGAAACACATCGAAATGGTACCAGCCGTACTTAATAATAGAAGGATTTGGCAGAAATATGTAAAATTGTCCCTCCTAAAAAAATTATTCCAGAATAAATGGGCAATAGTTAGGAGAGTTACAATGAGAAAATCCCATTTCCATTTTTTTTGGAGGATCCACTCCTCTTTTCCAATTCCAAACGAGATATATTTAAGAAGCGCACCGAGACGCTTTCAAAGTTTCTTCGGGCCGATTGCCGATGTGTCTTTAATTTAAAAAGAAAGCAAAGAAGGAATTTTTGCATGAAAAAGAAAGTCACATAAATTCTCTAATGAGATAGCCATGATGACTTCAAGTCAAAGGATCGAGTTGTACCCATCTAGTATGAGATTTTCATAGACAAAACCAAATGGGTTCTCATAACGAGTCAAGTCCGAGTAATATGTTCTTTAACATTAATCACCTAAGTGCTTGTTTTGGCATCACCATACCAATAGGTGTGAGATCTCTTACTACGATCTTATAGCATGAAGCATAGCACTCACAAGTCTTATCGTATAAAGTCATGTCCATTTTTAACAATGCTATGACTTGAGACATTTAATGATATCATTTAAGTGCATTAGTGCTTGTCTCACATCTTTTGATCAATCATTAATGCAATGCATATCGGATGAACTTTTACATAATTCTATCAATAAATATAAACAACAAGAATTAATATAAAGATTTTCTTTTATTAATAAAATAAAGAATGCAATATGATAATAAGTTAAACTATTCAAACAAGGTTGGATCTTGGGCATCTATACTAACAATCCTAATACCGTTAATCATCCTCTCTAAACTTTGGCCCCGAAACACATAATGAGAGTCAAAGAAAGTAACCCGATAGTTAGAATCTTTAGATAATTTGTTAACAAATAGAAGATTACAAGTAAGTTTAGGTATATGGAGCACATATTTAAGGGACAAGGTACTAGATAAGGTTACCAAACTTTACCAACAACAAGAGAATGTGATCTATCTCGCTATACAACATTTTTCATAACCAAGATAAGGTATATAAGTATGAAACAAGTTTGAAAGACTTACCATATGATCGAAGCTCCCGAATCATGATCCAAGAAATAGAAAAAGAATGACATATTAGGCATTATGATTACTACCTAGACATGCCAAAAAAGCATTAAGTACACCCAACAATCCAGGACTAGATTTCAATAACTTTAGGATGTGATCTAATTGCTCTTTATTGAAAGGGACAGTATTAGGTGCATGAGCGAAGTCGATCAACCCCTCGCTTTTATTTTTCCCTTTCCAATTTATCGGTTTTTCATGCAACTTCCAACGAGTTTCACGTGTGTGCTTTGGCTTATTGCAATAGTCACACCAAACACGGGATTTTTCCTTCAATTTCCCCCGAACCATTTGGCAAATATAAGCCTCTATAGCAAGGCCGAATTCTCCATTGTTTTGTCGGGTTTTTTGTTCCCTAACATCACAACTCCGTGACTTTTTTCCCTTCAAGAAAAAACACTTCTCCAATAGAGGGAAGTGGCTTTCTACCAATAATTTTGCCCCTAACTTCATTAAACTCAATATTTAGTCCAATAAGAAACTTAAATATACGATTATCCTCTACCTTTTTTTATAGTGGTGATAATTTTCCGTTGATTTATGCTCATAATAATCATTGAATAAGTCTAAATCTTACCACAAATGTTTCAAAGAATTAAAGTATTTTGTAACACTTTCCTCATCTTGCGCATTTCTCCAAGTTTCAATGTCAACTCAAACACTTGAGACTCGATTTCTCAAGTCCGAATACATGAGATTAATATCGTCCCACGGCTTCTTAGTAGTGTGGGAACACATTTAATTGGAGCTGATTTCCTCCTTCATAGAATTCACCAACCAAGTCATTATCACATAATTTTTAGCATCTTAAGTGGAGTAACTTGGATCCTCGAGGGCGATTCCTTCTTTTCTCCGTTAAGTAGCCAATTTTCCTTCTCCTATTAATATACATCCGCACTAATTGAGACCAAAGCACAGAAAATTTTCTCCATTCAATCGTATGGTTGTAATATGGATCGAATGGGAATATGAAGTTGATAGATAGGGGTTATTGGTTTTTTTTTTTTATGGAGTTCTGAATTTCAGATGAGTTTGGTTGAGATTTTAATACAAAAGCAGACATGGTGAAGGAAGATGGAGAGTGGATAGATAGCCAAAGGGGCAAGGGTATTTTCTAGAATGGATAGGGCTGGAATTTGGCTAAGGTTAGGTTTTTTGCCTAGAGCTTTGATACAATGTGGAAAATATTTTGCTGTGCTTATTTCTTCTGTTTAGATTACATAAAAATAGGAACACAAAGGTGTCTATAAGAGGAAAAAATTCTATACAAATCAGGAAAATCTCCTAATTTATTTATTTTGACTAAATCTCCTCTAATTTCTCTCCTAATCTGTTAGAAACAGATTTTCTCTTAATTAGTAACCCCTTTATCCGGCTGCTACTGATTACTCCTTCTCAACTGATGCTATATACGATAACAATCTGTTTGATTTGCCCTCGAAATCCTAAAGCATATAGCGAAGGACCGCATGCCACTGGCCAAAAGCACCTCACCGGGATCGCCATTTCAATATTTACCGTGATTATGCATTGTAGATGACTGATCTAAAGATTTCCTTTTGGACCATATAGTTAGAAAAATCTATGCAAGGGCATCATGATTCGTGGGTAACCTATCCACCAAGAACATGATAATTCGAAGGGAAAGGAAGCTCACCAGGCACCAAGCAGAGACTTCACCCACACCTTGGCTTCGCTAAGGACACTAGATGGACTAGCCTATGCAATGTGTATTGTCAGAACATGACCTGAACTGAGCACTACTAAGAGTTAAAAAAAAAAAAAAAAAAAGATCTTATCGTAATGGACTGGACTTATTTGGATTTCATATTCACACCATATTTTCTTTTTTCTTTTCAACTTCTTCACCAACTACTGTCGAAATAAGGAAGAACATTTTTGCATAGTCCAAAGCATAGGCTTCAGTTTTGTTTGTTGTTTTTGTTTTTTTGTTTTTGTTTTTTTTTTGTTTCTATATATATATATATATATAGAAGGCATAAGCTTCAGAAGACAGCTCTATTTCAATCTTCTCCGAGTCTTCAACCAGTAAAGGAAAAAGCGAGGCTGACACGATTGGATTAGACTACTGCAGAAAATCAATTATTAAGCACTTCCCTCGGGTTCCAGGGTGGTACGCAATACTATAGCAAAGACATGACATCCAAAGATTGAAAACGTACTTAACGTCTAGATTAAGATGGAATAGTCTACATGAAAAATGTCAAATAGCACAACAGTTCCAGTTCTGAGAACTTGGAAGTTTGAACGATGAGAGAAAATATAAACCAACTCAATCAAAAAAAATTATTGCGTGATGATAATATTGTCTAAGTAGAAATTTTTTGTTGTAGCATCATATCACAATTTGTTGATACCACAGTCAGTCCACAAACCACATCGTTCTAAATACGCAACTGAATTGTACTCGGGCTATATTAAAACCATATATAATTTTAACTGAGATATGTTTCTGTGGTGACACAAAACACCAGCAGAAAGGTTAAACAAGAGAACCCAAAGCTTGTACCTTACTCTCTTTAACTTTTCACAAAATGCAGTTCAAAAAATTCCATGAGATGTTATTTCTCTGATTTATTATGGCAAGGAAAATCATTATTTTTTATAAACGCAATATAGATAATTCTTCTGTGCTAACTGAAGAGCTGGAAACAGAAAAGGAATGAAAGAGGTCTATCGCTTGGAGACGGGCCGGAAGGAAGAGCTGCAGGAAACACATGCTGTTTCTGCTGAAGATTGAAACCTTGACCACTTTGTTACAAACAGCCATACAATTATGCATTTTGTAATTTCTATATAGCAGGTATTAAAAGGACTTGGTCACTAAATGGAACAATAACTAAATAACTAGAGTCCTGAGGCAACAAAAATAATATTGGAAAATTTTAACGATTTTCCATCAATAAGAAGCTTGAAAGGCTTTATGTACAAAGCGAGGTGATAAATTGGCCTACTTGCTCCGGTAAAAATTTACCTTTCCATACAAATTGGAAGCATAAGCGCTTAAATTGAGTACAACAATATCTTATACAAAGTACAGGGAGCAGCAAAGCATTGGAAGATTTATAATCACCTTATGAAAGTCCAAAACTGTGGCAGTAGTTGAAAACTTTACGGAGTGAAAGCACTATAATCAGGTAGCACTTACATGTGGGGTTCGAAGTTGCATCTAGGGCAACTTCCCAGAGGATGAGGATAATAAGATGGATTCTTTCTAGTTCAATCTTCGCCTCCTAGGTGCACGAGAATCCCCACTGTCCACATCAGAGATTCTCGAAGCATCATTTCTTCTTCTCGAAGAAGTTGAAAGGGAGACCAGAGAATCAATTTCCATGGCATTGTCCATTTGACTCTCCGAGTTTATAACTGCAGTTATGCTTGAGAAAGAATCTCTATCATCAACAGGTTGGGGCTGCTCATGATTTCTCCCTATGGGTTGATGGTTTCGAAAATATGTTTCAACTAACCTTTCAGCTGAATTCAAAGCAGTAGAAAGTGCAGCATGGGTCGAAGATCTTTGAGAGTGTGTTTGAGATCTTCGAAGTAGGAGTGAATTAGGCCGACGAGTTGGTCCTGCGTCGGTGCTGGCTGTGCCAGAATGTATTAAGTCCACTATGTCATGAAGCCGACGGGCATGTCCTCCCACAGGGCTAGTTGGGTTTGTCTGAGTTAAATCCACTATCTCATCAGGAGGTGCAAGAGGATTTTGCTCAGCACGCATTCCCCTATATGTCATAATCCTATTCAGAAAGGATTGGGTCCTATCAGCAGCTCCACGGGAACCATTTGAATCCTGTGAAAGAGACAAATCCCGGGATAAATCAAATCTACTTCCAAGTCGCCGAATCATCTCCTCCACCGGGAAGCTGAAAAGATGCCTTGAAGCGGTTTGTCTCAAACTCTCAACCCGCCGTGCATGAGGCCTAATAGGGATCTCCAGACTTGTATCCTCCTCAGGCTCACGGGTGGTACACCCACGACCGTAAATCGGGGTCACGTTCTTCATGGTCACCTCTCCCTTGCAGACTGGGCATTCTTTTGCATCAGAATGCACATGCAACCACTGATAGAGGCATGGCCAACAAAACAGGTGACCACAGCAAGTAACAACAGGGTCTGTAGCCAAATCCAAACAAATATTGCAATCGAAGAAGCTCCCATCATTGCCACTGGCCTTCTCAACATCATCCTTTTTCTCTGACACCTCATCTTCCAAAAATCCATTGTTATTTTCGCACATTTTAGGCACTTCATTTGTTCTTTCTTCAGCAGCAACACTTCCCTCACCAGCCTGTAATGTGCCCACATGGCCAGAATTACCCATCAGTTGATTCAATTCCACTGAAAGGCTTTGAGTTTGTTGTGGAGCTTGAAATTGTCTCCATCTCCTGCGATGTCGAGCCCTAATCCTGACAGCTTCCCTAATTCTCACAATAGGGTCATCAACCCAATCATCCAAATTCACTGTTTCATTTGGTGCTTCTAATTCCGATCCAGCCTCAGGGCCAGGACCAAGATTCAAATCAAGATTCATGGTATCAGAAGTCTCTTCACCCATTCCAAATTCAACAATTCCAACAAAAAACCTAAAATTTGCATAAACCAAAACAAAGTCAAATCAAAATCCGAACTTCCTCATAAAATAAGCAAACCAAGCTAATTTTATAACCAATTCAACGAACCCAGATAAAAAAACCTAACCTCACAATACCCACAAACAAACCCATATCACAAAACCTCAAAATTCAAGAAACCCATATCACAAAATCATAATTCACCACAAATTACACAAACCCAGTTAAGGAATCCAATGAATTCATCAAAAAACCAAATAACCCCAATTAAAAACCCCAAATTTATCGAATTTCAACGAAAAAAAAATCCCAGTTTACTTTTCCAGAAAACCCTAGTTAAATTTCACCAAGATTGCAGCTTTGACCTAATGGATTTATGATAATCAACTAGATAAAAGAACAAAAAACAAAATTACAAATTAATAACCTAAAATGGAGCAGTTAAACAAGAGAAATAAGAGCTGAAAGGAAGAAGATTGAAAGACCTGGCGATAATAAAAGAGACGATCTTGATAAATTAGATTGAGATTCTTTCAAGACTCAGTGCTGAGTTAGCTCCAAGTTTACTCGCCATGCGTGGTTATCTCTCTCTTCCTGATTAGCAAAATCTCGTCTCATCTATACTCAGGGGGGAGAGGGAGAGAGGTGAGCGTGTGAGTTGTTAAATGGAGTTAAAGTATTCAACAGAGAGAGAAAGAGAGAGAGGAAGAAGGATTGCATGTGATAAAGTTTAGATGGGAGTGATTATTGTTATCTTGATTGTCGTAAATCTGACGGTGGAGTGTAATATGGGGCCACCTGATGAGCAAGTTGGGAAATTTGGAGGTATATCAGATGGCTCACATTGACTGAGTGGGTTGGAATAAGGGAAAAATTTTTATATGTGGTGCTAAATGGATATATTTGTTTATTACATATATATGTTTTTTTGTTTTTTTTTGGTTAAAAATAAGACATGTCATGGTATAATTTTTTGTTAAAAATTTTGTATCCATTAATTAAAAAAATAAAAATAATATATGTAATGACATTAGTCTTTTTCTTCTTTTGGTTATTACGATTTTTTTCCTTCGGTGAAAAATGTAATTATATTTTAATTCTTTTCTTTTTATATATATATTATTATTACCTCTTTGAGGTAATATGGAGTTACTTTCAAATAAAATTAATTTATAAGGATTATAATTTCGTCTCATAATTTTGTTTTGACAAAGTGGTTTTTATTTATTGATTGATTTTTTATTAAAATAATAACTTAGTGGCCTATTAATCTTAACAAATTTGTAACTAAATCTCCTTGTCGATTTTTTTTTTTGAAAAATTATTTTATTCGATAATAAATAGTATCTCCAAACTAGTTTATATATTAATTAAAATTAAAATTTATTGTTAAATAAATTTTAAAACATATTTTGTTTATTGATCAATTGCAACTAGTGGATTTAGTTTTTTTTTTTTTAATAAATATAAATGAGAATAGGCTACTCGACTGCGTGGGTTGGAATAGGGGGAAATTTTATACATGTGGTGGTAAATGGATATATTTGTTTATTACATGTATATGTTTTTTTTTTTTTTAAAGACATGTTATGGTATAATTTCTTCTTCTTCTTCTTTTTAATAGGATGTTGGCATGGTGATTTGTTCTAGACGAATTTATGCATCAGATCGAAATAGAGTGCAGTTTTGAAATTGTTTGATAAAAATTTAGTACAGCTTGATCCAAATATATATATATATATATATATATAATGAATGTAATAACACATAGATTAAAAAAATATTATGACATAATTATTCATAAAATTAGATTTGATTAATTAATATCAAGTCTTTTTCTTCTTTTAGTTGTTACCATTTTTTTCCCTTCTCTGAAAAATGTAATTACATTTTAATTCTCTCTCTCTATATATATATAATGATCTTTTTGAGTTAATATGGAGTTAGTTTCAAATAAAATTAATTTATAAGGATAATAATTTAGCCTCAAGTTTTGTTTTTATTTATTGATTGATTTTTTAGTAAAATAATAACTTAGTGATCCATAAATCTCAAAAAACTTGTAACTAAATCTCCCTAACTAGTTTTTTTTTTTTTTTTGACAATTTTTTTATTTGATAGTAAGTAGTACCTTCGAACTAGTTTTTTATCAGCTAAAATTAAAATTTATTTTAAATAAATTTAAAAACATATTTTTTTTATTGATCAATCGCAACTGAATTTTTTTTTTAAATATATACTTGAGAATAGGCTAATTAACTAACGATGTTATACACAACCGCAATCACAGTAATGAGATATTGTTTATGCATGCTTGACAAGCATATGTAAAGTTGATATATAATCTTAGCTAAGATTGTGGCTAGTGGCCTCGAGGGATTAGGATTTTTTCTTTCTTTCTTTTTTAGGACAGTTTTCTTATTTGCTGAATCAGAATATTCTCCAATCCACTACATTTTCCTTTTTATTTCTCTTTTTGTCAAGTACCAAATCAATATCTGTCTATAGATAATCCATCAAACACGTCTTTTTGACCATTTAGGATTCATAAATGATACGGACACCGTTCCACCAATTTAAACTCGTTGGAGATTCAAGGCTGAGTTAGCTCCGAGTTGACTTGCCATATGTGGATATTTCTCTCTTTTTTATTAGCAAAATCCAAAATCCAAAATCCCCTATGTAGGGAGAGAGAGAGAGAAAGAAGCTGTTCTGATTTCTGAGTGTTCGAATTGGGAGTGGGGATTAGATAGGATAGATGTTGGGGAGATTTGTCAGAGATAGAATGATATTACCTAAAAAAAAATAGCAAACGGAAAATATTAAAATAATTTTATCTCAATTTCTAGATGATTGTGTTTCGGCACAATTAATTTGTTTTTTCAAAACCGAACGCCCCTTCTATATAAATTTTTGATGTAACAAATCAAATATATATTACATATCATTTTAAAAATACAATAAACTTAATCATTTTGTTGTATTTCAATAAATTAGTATAATTTGTAAAACTTGAAATTCAAAAATAAATAATATCATTATTATCTAAAAAATGACAAATAAAATTATATAGGATTTTAGAAGGAGACTAGGAAAGACAAAGAAGCAAATATGCTAATTTTTTTCGTTGATGCTGCTATATATCTCTTGTCAAATGACAAAACATGTATCGATAGTTGTAGAAATTGTCTCACTACAATTGAAATAATTGATTGAGTAGAGGCTGAAACTGACATCTTGAAGACCCTTCTATTGCAATTGAATTTCAAAAATAAACTTCCTGACGATATTCCTTTTCTTTTCCTTTTTTTTTAATTAATATAGTTTTAATATTTTAATAAAAATATTTCAAAAATCCTCTATATATATATAATGTCAGCTGTATAAATTGGGTATAGAAACAAACATAATACATAATAATAATACTAGTAGCTTGAACCTTTTTCTTAGTATTTCAACGGTATTACTCTTAAGCTAATAGTAAATATTGTTTCGAACTAAGTTTTTTTCTTTAAAAAAAAAATATTGTATAACACATTATATTTAGCTACTCGACAACAAATTTCAAAAGACGAGTAAATTACAACCTTGCGATTGATCCCGATTTTCATTAACGAGTTTAGATAATTCACTACATTCTCAAAGAAACAACCCCACTTCTATGTTTATATAGGTATGTCTACCAAAGATGCTCTTATAACTCTAGCATCGTATTAAGAAAAAAAAAAAAAACTATAAACCACATTAAAAGTTTCTCTAAAAAAAACTTAATTTTTCTTTTGTTATAAGATCATGTACTTGCACCATAAAAATAGGACAAAATAAATTAATGCATGTTGATCAACTACTCTTATTATTCGTTTTTTTTTTCTTTGAACTTAGATCTTGAGATCTTCAATCAACTAGGTAGGATGTCCTAATATATAGTTTATTAATCTTTGCACTTAAGACCCATCTCCTTTGATGCTATTTAGATTTTATATTTGATTAGAGCTTTTGTAAAAGAATCGGTTATATTATCATTTTTGTTGATATAATTAACATTTATGGCACTATTGTTTATATATGACTTCATTATCTACCACTAGCTATATATTTATTTTAGGTGAAAGAGTAATATGTTGAAAATCTAAAAAGCAATCAATTATTGCTAAATCCACTTCAAAGGCACGATTGATAGCTCTGGTCTCATCCAGGTGATGGCATATATTGGTTATAACACTCAAAATATTTCTATGGCATATATATGTGCCTATTTTACCAAGTATGTGCATGTGATGTTCTGTATTTATATTGATGATTGCTTGTTTGGATAAATTTCAAATGGCTATGTATTGTGTGTATAAGTAACTAGAGGATCCTAATTTATTAATTGCACAAATTTAGGACCTAAGTGAATTAATAGACAAAGTGAGGGACCTAGATACATAGTAATTAAATTGTCCCATACATGTATAACTTAAGATTTAAAATTTAATTAGTCTAAATATGCATTAATTTAGAAATAATCCCCTAATAGGATGTCCACATAATATGTCCACCTATTTAAAAATATCCAAGCATTATTCATCCAATTTAAGACATATTTCTTACTAATGTTTTTAATCTATTAGTTTTGTCTAAAAGAGGGATGGGGGGTTATTTTAGGGTTTTCATTTTTACTTCCATCCATCTTTGAGAGTTAAACACTTAAAAGAGACAGAGAGCTAGAAAACAAGAGAGAAACTAAATTTCTCAAGGAAAAGAGTCAAACTTGCCAAGAGGAAACAAGCTTGGCCAAGAAGAGGAGAGAATTACCAAGAAAAAAGATGATTGTTTTGGCCAAGAGTTTGAGCAAAGAAGAGAGAGAGGATTTCAAGATATTTTAAAGTGATTTCTACTTCAATCAAACCTAAGGTAAGTGTAACTTTAGCTCATCACAAGACTTATGGTTTATATATATTAATTTGGTGATTTAGGTGTTATGTGTTCATATGAAACCTAGGGTTTCTATGTGTGCAACTGATTGAATTGTGTTCAATTTGATATTTGGGTTATGAAATTGATGAATGATTGATTATTTTGATGTTATGGTATATGTTTAATTGTTGATTGAATGTGTAATGATGTGCTCGTGTAAACCTAGAGGTTCGAGGATTTGGATTAGTTGTTAA